GTTGTGTTTTTACACCAGCTCTGACTCTGGACATCAACCTATTGTCAAGCAGACATTGGGTCTGAGTAATAACAGTAACCTGTTGTGTGCATCCAGTGGCTCTGGTCCAGGTCTGGTGGTCGTGTCTGTGAATGTGAATGTGAATTCGCTGCTGTGCTGCTCTGCTCAACAGCTGCTGACTGAGATGATTTGTGATGTGGTGGAGTTCCCACATGAAGGCTTCTCCTAACAAACGCTGCTTGTGTAATGCGTAATGGTAAAGAGGCACACATCTAAGAGTTCTGAAAGATGTTAAACACATGTTAGATGTTAGATCACATTAAAGGGCCCGTGAAATCAAAATGAGAGTTTGTGGCTTTCAGTCCATGTCTTTAAGCTCTGAGATCTTTGTCAGTTATCAGGGAACGTTCTCAGAACATTCTGGCAAGGTTCACCCAACATTATAAACATAGAGTTACTAGTAACTTTAATAGAACGTTTGTTATCTGTTATTTGTTATCTGGTCTTTGATGATGTTCTCAAAACATTACCACAAAAACATTATTTATACATTGTTCTTGGAACTTTTTTTTCTGAAACATTTAGTTGGATGTTCGTCTAATATTTTTTAAATGTTACAACTTGTTTCAGAATGTTCAGAGAACATTCAAAACTAATGTTTTCATTATGATTGCATAATTATAAAATGGAATGTTCCCTTAATGTTCACATAAACAAACATTTTTAAAACATTTAAATAAATGGACATTTTGATAGTTCAGAGAACACTCAGAAATAAGGTTTTCATAACATAATGGGAACATTAGCAAAATGTTTTGTTAGATGGATGCATGCAACTTTAAAAGTAGAAAATACATCAATTTGCAATAGCATACTATTCTTTCTGCAGAATTGACAGTAGTATATGTACATTTTCTTTATGCATGTAGTACCTAGATGACCTACATTTGCCAAAATGTGCCTAAAATACTGCATTCCACAATTCAATACAATGCAGTGCACTTGACTTTCTATTTTCAATCTGTCAGTTGACTTGGAAGTAATTTCAGCATCTGTTTCCTGATTCATTATTTCATTAGACTGAGAATTTTAAAGTTGTATTCCATTCTGGACATACGACAATCATTCTGAAAAGGTGAAGATGCTTCATAAGTACAGGTTTCGTGCTGTAGCTGGATTTTTTGGATATTGGAAACTCAGCATAGGGTAACCCAGGTACTTTATTTGATTATAAAAAGCTGGAACAAATGCAATTTTGTTAGAAAGCGGCTCAACGGGGACAATGAGATTGGAATACGCTTCATAAAAATACATGAACGCAAAACAAGCTGTGATGTGAAATATATCAGCATTAGAATCAGTCTCTGGATTCATTTGAGGGATATTTCTAAGCCTCACGCTAGGCATTGCCCTTCATCCCTGTGCATGCTGGGAATGTGTGTGTGTGTGTCTAATCCATATACAGGTAAATGTGTATCATTGCATTACATCTGATATCAATATAACCAGCCTGAATCCCTATTAGCTCAAATCAAGAATGGGAGGAAAGTTGACCAAGAACAAGAAATAAAGAGAAAGAGAAAATGGACAAATCTCAGAAAAAAACTGGATCATATTTTATTCCAAAATCAAAAGGAAAATTTGCTAAATTTGTTTTGCATAAAAAAATATGCCTAATTGTGTGTATTGGCTTTTCAAGTTTAATTAAGTTTAATTTAATTGTTATCAAATAGTAACCCTATTTTCAAATCTTAAGCCTTAATTACGTTTTTATTTCATGTTTTGCCTATTATGACCATATTTAGAGTATGTTTGTATTGTCTTTTTGGAAGTAAAAAGTGAAATGTGTGGCCCATACTCGGAATTTGCGCTCTGCATTTATCCCATCCAAGTGTACACACACAGCAGTGAACACACACACACACCCGGAGCAGCTGGGGGTTCGGTGCCTTGCTCAAGGGTCTCACCTCAGTCGTGGTATTGAGGGTGGAAGAGAGCGCTGGTTATTCACTCCCCCCACCAAAAATCCCTTGCTGGACCTGAGACTCGAACACGCAACCTTCGGGTTACAAGTCCGACTCTCTAACCATTAGGCCACGACTGCCTAATGATCAAAAGGTTTTTATGATTATGAGCAACATAAATTCATTCAAGCATGTCCAAACTTGAATGGATATAGTTTATGATCCTCCCTTCTTGTCTTTATCCTTCCAGTATGTCTGAGACTCAAACACACTCTCATTATTGGCATTTGGCCCGATCACACACTCAATAGGGGCTCTCTTGTGCTGTCTGCGTTAAGACGCCTACAGTACAACACACTTCCTCCAGCCCACATCATACTGACAGCTCAAAGCCGCCACATGCAGTGTTTCTTCACAGAGCGCTTCATGTCACGACCAGCGCATTTGGCTCGCCTTCTCTGAGAAATGTCACATTAGACAAAGCTATAAATTCATACTTCATGAGAAACATCAGCGAACAAGATTAAAGCACATCAAGGGTAAAAGGGTCATTACAGTATACAGTACTGTATTGTTTCCCATCATATATCTTAAAGGAATGGGTCAGGCAAAACTCAAAATTAGCTGAAAATGTACTCACCCTCAGGTCATCAAAGTTTGTTTCTTCATCAGATTTGGAGAAATGTAGCATTGCATCAGTGTCTCAGCAATGGATGCTCTGCAGTGAATGGGTGCCGTCAGAATGAGAGTCCAAACAGCTGATAAAAACATCACAATAATACACACCACTCCAATCAGTTATGACACCATTCCAGTCCATCAGTTATGTTTTTAAGAAACAAATCCATCAAGGCATTTTAACTTTAAACCATTGCTTCTGGCCAAAATACCATAATCCATAATAATGCTTCCGCTAGTGAAAAAGTCCTGTTGTCTCTCACATCAAAATCCACACACATATTTGTGTAGAACAAACACGCAGCTTTTGTCTTCTCCAGATGTTAACTGATGAACTGGAGTGGTGTGGATTACTTGTGGATTATTGTGATGTTTTTATCAGCTGTTTGGACTCTCATTCTGACGGCACCCATTCACTGCAGAGCATCCATTGCTGAGCAAGTGATGCAATGCTACATTTCTCCAAATCTGTTCCAGTGAGGAAACACTCATCTACATCTTAGATGGCCCGAGGGAGAGTACATTTTCAGCAAATTTTCATTTTTGGGTGAACTATTCCTTTAACATCCTTGTGTAAGTTTACCGTTAATTCCTCATTGAGAGAATCTCTAGCTTTTTATGAATATCCAGTTAATTTTCTTGTCACTGTGTAAATAAGCTAAAATTAATCAATTTTAAGTGTCTGAGCTTTGGTCAAATCTGATAAATTGCTTTATACAGTACAAACACGTTCATTTCTTACATGAACACAAGCATACACATTTTAAAATCACAGAATTAAAAAAAGTTCAATATTTATTGTAGCACTTGTTTTGAGTTTTCATTCAATTGCATGCCATTTCTTTTTGTTACGGTACTTGTGCATGTATTTTTTAGGCAGCGTTTTGCAGTGGCGAAAAAAAAAACAACAAAAAAAAACACCTTTCACACAAAAGGAAAGACCCAAATTCGTCTTAGTTCGTAAACCGAAGGCAATTTAAAAGGCTTGTGAGTGTAATTGTAAAAGCAGTGTCTGCCGCCACCTAACGGTCACGAAATGAAACAACCAACATTTCGTTTGCTGGAAAAGTTAATTTTACTGGCATGAAAGGCTCATTTTGTGAGAGTAGGAAAACCCGTTTCATTCATTATCAAAAATAAAGTTCAGAAACTCCATGCTACAATTAAGTGCCAAGCAGATTAACATTCATTCATGTCAGACGAGCAGCAGTCTGAATCTCTCCAACAGCACAGCTTTAATTCACACTGGGTTAATGAATGTTCCACACAGCACAAGCACACAATCTATGCAGGAAGAAAAACCTTCAAAGCTGCAAAGCTACAACAAACAACCTAAACAGAAGTCACATTACAGTAACTTTGTTACAAGCCTACTAGCAAGTCACATCCATGATTCACCTACATAATCACATCCTGGTTGTCTTTTGAACATCATGTAGTCATAAATAATAATAATAATAATAATAATAATAATAATAATAAATAAACAACAACAACTAATCAAATGATTAAAGTAATCTCCAGATGTTTGTTTGTTGACACCATGCAAGCTTTAGTGGCTAATTTCATGGAAAAATCCAAGCTTTAAAATAATAATAATAAATAATAATAATGAATTCAAATATAAAGGAAAAAAAATAGTGTAATACAAAGTAAAATTAAATAAAAAATGACTGACTATCATCTTGACAATGACTATAATAGCAAGTAAATATTATTATAATAGCAAGTAAATATTACACTTAAAATAAAAATATATAAATATAACAAACAATATTATTTGATTATTATAAATTTAAAAAATAAAATAAAACTACAAGTTAAAATAAGATACAAAAACATTTGAAATAAATATAATAAAGTTAAAATACAATTAAAATAGATGGTTAAAAAAAATCATTTAAAATAACTTACAAATAAAATTAATAATAATAATACATTTTCACAACAAAAGACAAAAACAAAAAGGTATTTATCAAATGCTTCTGCGACTTTGTAGCTGCCACTTTTGTAGCCAAACTATCTGCTAACCACTGGATTAGAGTCTCAGACACTTACAGGTGAAATCCAGACAGACACAGATCACTGTACTGGGTTGATGAGTTCAGAAAATGAATCCTAGTTGGACTAAACGCAACTGAACTAAACTGAATTAGTGATAATGTCCTAGTTCCCACTCTCACTCCAATTAAAAATTGCAGAGGAGAGAAGAACACTGAACACAGCAGCGCTTGTGAAGCAGTTTCAAACTACAGAAGCTGCATTTATGTCTGGTTATGACGGCTACTACCATAAACTCATTTTAAACACTCTCTGCCTTCTAAAGCAGCAACCAAACTGCAATGCTCAATGGGATTGCATTCTCTTTCAAGGAGGATTCATGCAACGCAATTAATTTGTTATTATGGTGCAACAAACCTTCTCAAGTGGACCAGCCAGGAGAAGACTCAGGTGCTGCATTCTGGAAGGGGTCGGCGCGGACCTGGACAACAAAGATTAGTATGAAACACTGCATTCGTCGCATGCTGAATGAAACTGCATGATTCACTGATTCATGCAAAGTGCTGAAGAACATGTTTCTGCTTGACCACTTTTTAGATATATGCTAAAACCACGAATAAACAAAAACACAACAACTTTGCATTTACTCCCTTGATATATTGTTGTGGACTAGAATG